AGCTCACAAAAGACCCTGCCTGTTTTTCCCTTTGAGCTCACAGTGCTAGACAGCCCATCCTTACAGGGCTAACGTAGGTGTCACTAAGTGATACCATCCCAGTACACCTGTATGACAATATTCTTCTCGTTTGTTTTGGAAAAAGGGCAAGAGATGTGGACACATTATAAGAAAAAGAACAGAAGGTCTAGAGATGATAATTTGGCACTTGGTCACTTCTCCCTTAAAGGGAGAAGAAAGCCGGAAGTGTTTTAACTGCTCCTCCCACCAAAGTCAGGAGCCCCAATCACGCATGAGATGTAACGGCTACTCTGAAACATGGGGCAGTTTATGCTAGTGAGTTATACAGAAGTATATTTTTTCTTTCCCATAAGAGAAAATTGTCTTGATGCTTTAGGTGGGCATAAAGAGGGACTTGAAAGGCTTTTGAGATCATCAAACCCAGTGGCAGGACGAGAGCAAGAAGAAGGAGAGGCACTTATACTTGGCCCACTGGAGTTTCCCCAGTTGACCAAAAGGCCTGGTGAATATCACAGAAGGACCTTGATGGAAAGTAATGCCTGACAATTTACGGTGTAGTAGAGTCGGAACGAGGAAAACTGAATGAAAGCTATATCGTCTATACAAAGAAAATCAAGAGTCACAGTCATCAACAGCTCTGTCCATCTGATATTGATTTCAGATATATATCTGAATATAAAATAAATATGAATATGGATATATATATATTTACAAATGTGTTTCTATTACTAGTTTCAGATGAAGATTTAGCAAAGGTTTACAGGAAGGAGATTGCCCATTCCTAGGATTTACATACTGAGCTTTCTTGCCTGTAACAAGGCATCTCACAGTCACGGGACCCATGATTCATCCAGAAGAGGGAGAGAGAGAAGCCACTTTCTCCCTACCAACCCTTCTGCCAGTGGTCTTTCAGTAGCTACTAAGAAGACAGTAATGGAGGATAATAATACCTGAATGTGATTGACTATTCATTCTAATTGATGTTATTTTTAAATAGTAAATAAATCACTAGGTTGTGCTGAACATATTGAGAGAGACTGAGATACTGTTGATTGAAAGTTTAATTCTAGTCTCCATCCCCCACTGAGTTAATGTGCTGCGCTGCTAACCAAAAGGTTGATGGTTTGAGTCCACCTAGAGGTGCCTCGGATGAAAGTACTGGTGATCTACTTCTGAAAACTCAGCTTTTGAAAACCCCATGGAGCACAATTCTACTCTGACACACAATGGGGTTGCTGTGAGTTAGAGCTGACTCTACGGCAACTGGTTTTTAAGTGGTGAGTGCTCAGTAAAGCTGTTACAGTTACTAAAATAAAACTATTCCATGTTTGTAGATTGCTGAATTGATATTATCTATTGAACCTACTACTTATACAACAGAATTAGAGAACATTTTTAGAAGGATAAGGAAAATATTTTAGTCCATAAAAGTTTTGATATAAGACAAGCAAGAAGATGAGAACTATTTGATTGGCAGTGGACATACAGGCTGAAAATGATTTAAGTCTTAATATCACAAAAGTAGGAGACATCTCTTAAGGTTAAAAGACTCTTTTAGGAGGAAAGGGAAATTTTTACCTTAAAAATATGTAGAATCCAACTGTTTGATTAATATACCACTTAAAAATTGGTTTAATAAATTAATGGATGGCACATCCATAATGAATTAATAAGTGAAAGTAATATGTTTAAGGGGTTATCCTATCCTTTAACACTGACAAAAAGGATCCCTTGATTTCACTGTGAAAAAAAAGATGATATGGAGTATGAGTATGAGGCAGCATGGTAATTCTTTTCTTCTTAGCAAACGGCCTAACCTCTCTTCACACTTTTATAAAAGCTTTATAGTTTCTTGCTTGAATGGAGTGTAACCCAAATTATGCTTTGGGTTGCAATATTTCTACAAAAGAATAACCTCACATTTGTCAGTATAACTGGCATAGATCTTGAACTTTTGTTACGGACTACAACCATAGTCATACCACAACTCTATTCTGCATGAATCTCTGAGAGTGTTGTCTTAAAAATATGTCGACATCATAGAAACAAAATGACAGGAAAAATCCAGCATATACAGCTACAATCTAACTAATAAAATTCAATTTGTTTCTTGCAAAAGTTCATCCTGTTTTCAAGGAGAGAAGTGTAGTTCAAAGTTTAAAAAAATATTTGATTTGTTTAATTAGCTACAAATTATACTAGGTCTCATGTTGGTCCTTTACTCTTTTAAAAATTTATGTTCCTGTGAAGAGTTTGGAGCCCTGTGGCACAATGGTTAAGAGCTCGGCTTCTAACCAAAAGGTCAGCAGTTCGAATCCACCAGCCGCTCCTTGGAAACCCTATAGGGCGGTTCTACTCTGTCCTATAAGGTCACAATGAGTTGGAATCGACTTGACAGCAATGGGGTTTATGAAGAGTTTAAGTTACTTGATGGTATGAATTATTTTGTATCTCATATCTCAGGTGGTACTTCAACAAGCATTTATGCTCTTTTTAAATGTCACATGGTGGTTTTAAGTGCAGTATTTAAATCCTTCATAGACTTTGCTAACAACCTATTATATGTATGTGTATATTACGTATATTTTTTGAGTAAGTTTGGCGTATCTTGGTTCTCAAACATTTGAGTGGAATAGAACGACCCGGCGGGTTTGTTAAGATGCAGATTGCAGAGCCAGTTCAGTAAATCTGCAGTGGGGCCTGAGAATTTGCATTGCCTAATAGGTTCCCGGAGCCCTGGTTGCCCAGTGGCTAAGTGCTATTGCTGCTAACCAAAAAGGTTAGCAGTCTCCCAGAAGCCAGCTCGAGCTGGGAGTGAGAGGGAGTGAGGAAGTAGTTAGGGTGAAATCCCAGTGTCCATCCATTCCTCCATGGGGGCAGTGACACAGAGGAGTCAGTTTCATGGCTGAGAGGCTGCAGATTGTGCTGGTCCTCATCTGGTTCCTCTGCTTGGCCTTTGGTCTATGAATGAGGAGTGGTGGACTGATGGAGCTGCCTCTTGAACGAAAGCTCCAAATGAGGGCTGAGGTCAGATGCTGGGTAATTCAGCCGTGCCTGGAGGCATCAGTGCGTTCCCTGATCATCAGTGAGAAGGGGATGGGGGGCGGGCACTCTAGGAGATAAAAGCTACCATCTTAGTGAGGGTCTCACGTAAGTTTCATGCATAAGGGAAAGCACGTAAAAGAGAAGTCTACGTAAGAACTTCCCCGGGCATGTAGAGATGAGAAGGCAGCACAGCAGTCACCCGGCAGGGGCACAGGGGCTCAGTGGCACATCAGACTCGAGGCCCGCAAAGTTTTAGCCATCCTATCTCAATGGCCCAGCGCTTGGACAAAGCTGACAGATAGGGGATTGATTGCATTAGCCCCCCTTTTGGTGTGCTCAGCCTGGTGCGCTTGCTCTAGGAGAATCTGCGTCTCAGGCAGGGGACAGGGGTGTCCTCCCACTGCCCGCCCAGACCAGAACGACTGCCCAGCAGAGCCACAGCATTGTGAGCTAAATAAAATGCTTGTTTCTTTAAGCCACTAAATTGGAGGGGAGACTGTTGTTACACAATAAAACCTTCTGAAACACTGAAAAAAAAAACCAAAAAGGTTGGCAGTTCAAATCCACCAGCCGCTCCTTGGAAACACTATGGGGCAGTTCTACTCTGTCCTGTAGGGTAGCTATGAGTCAGAATTGACTCTACGGCAATGGGTTTCGTTTTCTGGTAACAGGTTCCCTGGTGATGCTGATGCTGATGGTCCAGGGACCATACTTTGGAGCAACTGATATAAGTAGCAATCAAGTAGATGATAAAAAATTCTGAGAATTACTTCCAAATTCTAAGTAAAAAAAAAAAAAAAAAAAAAAGCTGCCAACATCCAAGTGATAATAAACTCCTTAATTAGCATATGATACAAAACTTTTGGTTTTTATTTAATTAATAAAGTTCACAAGTATGCTGAACTGCCAAAGATGATCCATGTACCTAACTTCCTTTTGTCATCAAATACTATTTTATATGAAATAAAATAATATAAAACCAAAAGAAAAAATTGCAAATGAAATTCTCTAACTATCCATACATGAACACACATATTCCGTCATAATAGTTTGATGCAAGATTCATTGGGTTATGAAAAATTGTAAACTCTCTGCCATCTCTGATATTTTAAACTACATATCAGAATTAGGGCAGTGAACAAATTACTAGTGATTAGATGACAAGTAGACTTTAATTACAGCTTTTGGTTAAAAATATGAAAATATTTCCTAATTTAATAAAACTTAACTTCTTATCATTGTGAATATTGCAACATATCTATACTACCTACAGATGAATTCCAAATATGTTCCTGATTCTCTGATTTTGGATTGCTCAAATGTTCTGTGCTTAATATTGTGGGAAAAAAGAATCACAGAACTGAACAATGGCAGAAAAAAAAAAGTAAAAAATGTAAAACATTTCTATAGACTTGGATGCCTTACATTTTTGTAAAATATTGCAATAAACATATTCAATAAATAAGTTTCTCCATTTATATCACTTAAAATTACTTTACATACCTTGAATTCTATCAGATTTTCTCCTTGTATATGTATCATATGTCTGATATCTGATATATCTTATAAATCAGAGACCTAAGTCTGTATTAAAATTTTTGATATGGTTAATAATTATACAAACTTTTTACTGGACTCCATTAAGATGTCTAATTATAAGTTCCTCATTTTTAATTTTTGGCACTTTCCAATGGCATTGAAATTAATATCCCAGGCGTGAACAGCAGGGCACATTCAAGAGTGCAATCAAAGTAATGATGCAGGTGTTTGCCACGCCACCTTGGCAATCAGTCTTTCTTGGTTCAGATAATCTCAAAATCATCTCACGTCCCTGCCCCATGCTTCCTCAGTCTGATGACCTCTATGTCTGACCTCTCCTGAAGATTTATAATCAGGACATTATTAATGTTGTTTTCTGTAACTTGCATACTCACAATCAGGAGGCATCTTTTCCATAAACATCTTGTAATATTCTTTCAGAAGTTCAAAATTTTCCTGATTAATACTTTCTTGCAAAGAGACATCTCCAAACCTAAAAACAGGAAAAAAAAAGGAAATAGTTGTAAATTATAAAACAGTACTAGAAAGTAATACTTTTTATCTTTCCTTTTTAAACAGATGGCAATAACTTCCTGAGGAAGGAGCCCTCTTTTTTAAAAGCTATCTTGCACAGATGGTAATTTCAAACGTATTCCAGTCTCCACTGACCCTGACGCCACAATCCATTCTGACACATCACAATATCCTCACAGTCATCAAATATGACCATAAATGAAACATCATATGTAAAACACCAGCCCCTGTGCATATACATAATTGATATTCAGCTGAAGTCATTTTCTCCACCCTACCGTGGCCCCACCTCTGCAGAGCTGCATCTCTGCATATATAAGCCTCCCACCCCTTTTGGCTTTTACAATCATCCTCTTAACCAATAACAGCACTTTGAGTGGTGGTCTGGAAGACGAGGACTGGACACTCAGCTGTATGTTGTATTGCACACACTGTCAACTGCTGTAGGAACGTGTAGAGACCTACAGCCTGCCAGAGAGTAGCTCACCTCTGCCAGCATTTTTTCTGTCCACATCACGAAGGCAGACAGTTTGTGTACTGGTGCTGTTTAGACTCATTGGCAAACAAAACTAAAAACCCTTTCTACCTGTGGGTTTGTAACCATGTGTTCTCTTGAGCATTTCCCCAGGTTCAGAACTTACACGCCACTTTTCTTTCTATAAAATGATGCTGTGTAGTTGGATTCCGGTGTGTATCTCCATCCTAATATCTCTTACCAAGCTCCAAAGCTCCATTTCTAGATGCTAATTGAAAAATTCAGTTTGAATTGTCCTACCCTACTTCATACATAACTAACAACTGAAACCACCTCCCCCTTTTGAATGTTTCTTAGCATGTCCCAATATTCTGTCATTACCTCAGATTTTCTCTTTTCCCCACCCCAATCCACTCTTCATTAATCTTTTCACGTCTCTGTATCCCATCTCCCCTATTTCTTTTTCTTTACCACCGTCACTACATCATAGGCATTTAATTATATCCAATCTGGACTCTCCCAAAGTCTCCTAAATGCCTGAACGCTATGCCTCCAGTCTTTGTCCCTTCCGATCTGTCCTTCACACCAGACCATTCATTCATTCAACAAATATTTATTTAACATGGAAACCCTGGTGGCATACTGGTTAAGAGCTACTGCTGCTAACTAAGAGGTCGGCAGTTCGAATCCACCAGGTGCTCCTTGAAAACTGTATGGGGCAGTCCTACTCTGTCCTGTAGGGTCTCTATGAGTTGGCATTGACTCAACGGCAATGGGTTTTTTTTTTTTTAACGTGCTATAGGGTCGCTATGAGTCGGAATTGACTCAACAGCAATGGGTTTGTTTGTTTGTTTTTGTGGGGGGAGGGGGAACGTGTCAGGTAAAGAAGAGCCTGGGTGGCACAAATCATTTGCCATAGGTTGCTAACCCAAAGGTTGGAGGCTGAAACCCACCTAGTTGCACCGCAGAAGAAAAGTTCTGGCAAATTACTTCCATAAAGGTCACAGCCAATAAAACTCTATGGAGCAGTTCTACTCTGTAACGCACGGGGTCACCATGTGTCAGGGGCTGACTTGACAGCAGTTAAACAACAACAACATGTGCCAGGTGCTATACTGTGCAATAGATGAAATGTTAGAGAAATTAATCTAACACCTGTTTCATTGTATCAGCTCACTAAACTTCAGAGCTTTTCCTGGCCCTGTAAGGACAAAGTCCTGCCTCCTTAGTTTAGCATCAGCCCTCTCCACAAAGGCTTCTAAATCCATGCTTTTCCCACTTGGACTAGAAAGTGTTACCTCCCAAGTTGGCTTAATTCATTCCTATTTGTCCTTCAAAGTCTTGTAAAAGGCTGACCTCCTCTATGAAACCTCCCTGATGAATTCCTCTCCCACCTGTGAATCGCTTTTTCTGCACCATTCCCATCCCTTGAACAACCTTTGATTATGGCATGATTCAAACTGCCATGTAGTATTTACTGAAGTGTCCTCCTTAATGGATGGCAAGTTCTTTCCGGGCAGGGATCATATCCCATTATTTCTGTTACCCTCTGTTCTCTCTGTGTCCCAAGCTGGGCAGGGCAGTGCCTGGTTCAGTCAGTGTTCAATACCTATACTGAACTGGACTTGGAGGATACAAATGTGGACCTAAGGAAAATCTACAGGAGGGCTTCCTGAGACCTAGGTGAAATATGCTCTTCTAACTTTCTCAGATGCTTAAATCAACTGACTTTTTAAAAATATCATCCTTGCTGGGGTAATATCACTATTTACTTAAGAATGGACAAAAATATGTTTTTGTTATAGATAAATATGTAGTCAAAATATTAATCCTAGATTACACAGCTTACCTAACATGTTGCTGGTAAATGTTGCCTGGTAAAGCTCAAAATTCAGAATCAGAAAAATGAGGTTCATAGAACAGAGAGGAGGTGATTTGCTCAAGTCAATAGCTAACTAATGTCAGAGTGCTATTAGAATCCAGCCTTCCCACTTCTTTCAATGTTCTGCCCTGCTTTACCATTTTGTCTCGTTTTCAAATATTGTGTGTCTTATATAGCTTCCAGGTATAAAAAATGTATTTTTGTTAATATGCAAGAGGGATGTGAGGAAGGGAAGGGATAGCTTTGAAGTAAAGTAACTGACAGCTAAAATAGTCACAATTACATGAATGATGGAAATTAGTCTAATCTAGAATCTTTGAAAATACAGTGCTAAACATCCCTTGTAAAGTCTGTAAATTGAAGACCCACACATCTCTCTCAAGACCATGCTCACAAGCTTTAACTTATTAATTCAAACCAAAAACATTCTGTACTCTAGTATACTGAAGAAGAGACAATGCACAGTGCTGGTTCATTTTTTCCAAGTTATAATTTATATTCAGTAATATCATTCACCTCAACCAATGAACTTGCCGTGAGACATAAGTAGACAGATATTAGACAGACAGTAAGATGATAGACAGATAGATACAGAAATAAATGGAATATAATGTGATCTTTGATATGAATTTTTAAAAGTGCAATTATAGAACAAAACCTCTTGTACAAGATATTGAATAAAATGATATTATGATTTATGCATACTTCAACAAAGAAAAGAGATGAATAGCTTCCACACAGTTTGACATCAAATATTTAATACAAAGCTCTGTCATCTCATTTGCAACAGGCAAGTGAGAATTCTGAAAACCTATGCCATCCAGGTGGACTCTTTGGGTGATGCAAATAGTTAAATGCTGGACTACTAGTTGAAAGCTTGGTGGTTCAAACCCATCCAGAGGTGCCTCAGAAGACCGGCCTGGCGATTTACTTCCAAAAGGACACAACATTGAAAACCCTATGGGGCAGTTCTACTCTGCACACACGGTATTGTCATGAGTCGGAATTTTCTAGATGGCAACTAATAACAACAAAATGCTGTCCAGTAGCTGTTTTCGAGTCAGAGAAGGAGAAAGAGTTGGAAAATGTAAATAAAAACAGGCATGTTGACTATTCATTGAAATTAAAAGGGACTATAAATGTAGTAAGCGGCCCTGGTGGCAAACTGGTTAAGTGCTCCGCGGTCAACTGAAAGTTCGGTGGTTTGAACTCACCAGGTGCTCTGCGGGAGAAAAGACCTGGTGATCTGCTCCCTTAAAGATTACAGTCTAGGAACCTCTATGAGACAGTTCTACTCTGTCATGTAGGATTGCTATGAGTTGGAATCGACTTCACAGCATACAACAACAACAATATAAACGTAGTAGTATTTTTAGTTTAGTAAAATACATTGGTAAATTACCTCCTAAAACATATTTAACAAGCTATGGTAAACAATGTGCTAGGCACTTTTAAACTGTTACTCCAGATGAAGGAAGCATTTGGAGAGTGAATTATAACAAAGCAAGCATTCCGAATACCAAAAACAATTGAAACTCTGAACATTTTGCCTGTGAAGAAACCTCCCCAGCCAGGCCTTACAGCAAGATAGTAACTTCTTTCTTTTCAAAAAAAAAAAAAAAAAAAAAGTATATGAACCTTAACTGTTATCTATAATATCTGCATGTAAAACATATGAAATGCAAAAGTAAGTCCTCTGTTTGCTCATAAAAGTCTTTTTGCCAGTGACTTATGGGATAACATAAAGTCATTTATTGTTTGATTAAGCAAGGCACTATGAAAATGTGTTAACATCACCCAATAACAATGATTTTAATGAATATTACAAAAGATGAAAAATAGACTACTTTAAATCCAGAAATTTTTGACATAATTAGCTGAGTTTACACTGTTGACACACACATGCACATCAAAAATTCTAAAGTTTGACATACACATAGAGATTTGAAACACGAAGAAGGTTAATTCATGTGAATATTTTGGCATTGGCATCAATATTTTCCTCCATGTTTTGCCACATTTAAAAATGACCTGGGCCAGGATTCCTTAAATATAAATATTTCACCTTACTATATCAAATAAATCAATACTTGTTGTTGTTGTTAGGTGCCACCAAGTCTGTTCCAACTCATAGCAACCCTATGTACAACAGAAGGAAACACTGCTGGATCCTCTGCCATCCTCACAATCATTGTTATGCTTGAGCCTATTGTTGCAGCTGCTGTGTCAATCCATCTCACTGAGGGTCTTCCTCTCTTTCGCTGAGACTAACTGATACTAACAAAAAGAAAAATGTTACTTATGATTTCATCTAAGTTCCTTCTGCAGGGCATGTGGAATTGCTCAGCATACCCTAACAAATAAAAAGAAAAGCTGAAGTAATCTTATACATGAAGCTTACCTCTCAGCCAGAGTCTGCTGTTCGTTGATTCCAACATTAAAAAGTACTGGATATACGTGAAGCAACTGTCCTTCTTTAATCTGTAGAGGCAGCGACTCAAACATTCTAGCCGGAAGTTTGACCTCTACCACATAGTGTTCACTGAAGGAAGTGGAGGACAAAAGGGAAGGAACGTTACTTATTTCATTTTTTAATGTTACTTTAGATTCATTGGAAAGAAACAATAGAAACATTTGGGATATAGTGCTGATTTAGGTTTTTGGTTGGTTTATGCTTATTTTCTATCATTAATTCATTAGTCCATTCAATAATCACTTCATTCATTTCACTATTAAATTACTTGGCCCAAAGAATTATAAAGGTTGGTTTACATGTTTGATTTCTCTAAATGACTCTTAGCTACTTTAAGAATGTACGAATGTTTAGTTCATTTTTGTATACCCAGGCATACTGAGGCTCAATATTTATCTTTCTGATTTAATGATTTTCAAAACCCAACCAATTTCAAGAATAGAAAAAAATAATTTAATGATGGATTTTTTTTTAATATAGTGAAAACTAATAAAACAAATCATTTAAAACATTTTTTGGCATGGCCTGATTGTTATTATTGATGAACCTCTCCCCTCATTTGTGATGGTATGATGGAAATGTAAATGGTTTAATTATTTAAGGTTAACCTTTGGGAGTTCCTGGTCATTTTACAACATTAGCATATCACAGGGCCATTTTTTCATGGGAAATTTTCATTAAAAATTACCCCCAATGTTTAGTTGTTGAAAATTCAAATTAAGGTTCATAAAATACAGTCAAAAACAGTAGCTGTGGGTATACTGCAAACCTTGACATCTTCTGATGCCATGTGAATTGAGTATATAAATGTAGAGAGTTTTGCCTAGAGTTTAGGAAAATCCATGTGTTTCTAGAACTATACGGAGTGGCAGAATTGTAATACATGTATTTGGGTAAAGAACCACAGGACAAACAGCCTCTTTATGAAAATCTTCTTTTTAGCTTCTGCCATTGTTGTTGTGTGCTGTCAAGTTGATTTTGACTCATAGCAACCCTACAGGACAGAGTAGAACTGCCCCACAGGGTTTCCAAGGCTATATATAATCTTTGCAGAAGCAGACTGCCACATCTCTTTCTTGTGGAGCGGCTGGTGGCTTTGAACCTCTGACCTTTTCCCTTAGCAGCCAAGAGCTTAACCAGTTTGTGCCACCAGGGCTCCTTTTAGTTTTTCCTAATATAACAATACTGATAAACACCCTAGATTGTTGACACCAAGACTTGTTTCTTACCTGAACTATGAACAGAGACCTAGGGAATAGCCTGAATCCAGCAAGCAGGGATGTCAGCACTACCCTCAGCTGGAGAGGCACATTACCTTTTCCCTTTTTAAATTGCTCTCAGTGCCCCTTACAATGGCTTGGCTAACAGAGGGCTGATGTTTATATTTCAAGGCTTTCAGGAATATGAGAAGAATCAATGAATCAGTCTGTGTTAAAAATTTGATCTGAAGGTGAAGCACATTGTATGATTTCTTCATGATAACTGTTAAGTTTATTTTTAATTAAATTCACTTGAAGCCACCTGCTTTAAAGTTACAATTCAAGGAGTGTTAGTCAATTTATAGAGTTGTGCAATCATCACCATAATTCAGACTTAGAACATTTCTGTCACTTTACAAAGATTCCTTCTGCCTGTTTGCAATCAATCCATTCTCACTCCCAGCCCCAGGAAACCAGTGATCTATTTTCTGTCCCTATAGATACTACTTTTTTTGGATATTTTATATACATGGAGTCACACAATATGTAGTCTTTTATACCTGGCTTTTTACACTTAGCCAAATGTAATTGAGGTCATTCATGGTGTAGCATGCATTAAAGGTTTGTTGCTTTTAATTGCTGGGCAGCATTCTATTGTATAGATACACCACATTTTGTTTCTCCATTCACTAGCTGATAGATACATGGATTGCTTCAAGATTTTGGCTATTATGAATAATGCTGCTATGGACATTCACATATAGGTTTTTATCTAGATATATGCTTTCATTTTCTCTTGAGTAAATAAGAGTCATATGGTAACATATTTAACTTTTTAAGAAACTGCCAGGCAGTTTCCAAAGCAGATGTACCGTTTTACAGTCCCACCAGCAATGTATGAGATTTCCAGTTTTTCCACATTCTTGCCAATGCTTGTTATCTGTCTTTCTGATTATGACAATTCTGCTGGTAGTGAAATGCTATTGCATTGTGGTTTTAATTTTATTCTCCTACTGACTAATAATGTTGAGTATGTTTTCATGTGCTTACAGACACTCATATGCCTTATTTGATGAAAAATATATTGAAATCCTTTGCCTTTTTAAAAACTAGATTGTGTGTCTCATTACTATTGAGTTGTAAGATCCTCACAACTGGATCAATAAGCAACATCATGATAAACAGAGAAAGATTGAAGTTGTCATGGATTTCATTTTACTTGAATCCACAATCAATACCCATGGAGGCAATAGTCAATAAATCAAAAGATGTATTGCATTGGGCAAATCTACTTCAAAAAACCTCTTTAAAGTGTTAAAAAGCAAAGATGTCACTTTAAGGGCTAAGGTGCACCTGATCAAAGCCATGGCGTTTTCAATTGCCTCATATGCATGCAAAAACTGGGCAATGAATAAGGAAGATGGAAGATGAATTGATGCCTTTGAATTAAGGTGTTGGCAAAGAATACTGAATGTATCATGGACTGCCAAAAGAACAAACAAATCTATCTTGGAAGAAATACAGCCAGAATGCTCCTTAGAAGGAAGGATGGTGAGACTTCTCACATTATTTTGGACATATTATCAGGAGGGATCAGTGCCTGGAGAAGGACATCATGCTTGGTAGAGTAGAGGGTCAGTTAAAAAGAGGAAGACCCTCAATGAGTTGGATTGACACAGTGGCTGCCAACAATGGACTCAAGCATAGCAGTGATCATGAGGAGGGTGCAGGACCTGGCAGTGTTTCATACTGTTGTACATAGGATCACTACGAGTTGGAACCGAACTTGAGGGCACCTAACAACAACAACAACAAGATTTCTTTATATATTCTGGAGACAAGTCCTTTATTAGCTATATGATTTGCACATGTTCTCCCTCAGTCTGTAGCTTTGTCTGTTCATTTAAAGAAGTCTTTTGATGCTTTAACGTTTATAATTTTGATGAAGTCCTTTATATAATTTTATTTTCTTTTATGGATCACGGATTAAGATTTTTTATGCCACATCTAAGAATACTTTACCTAACTCAAGCTCACAATTAATTTCTCCTGAGTTTTCTTCTGGAAGTTTTATAGTTTTAGCTCTTATATGAGATCTATAATCAATTTTGAGTTAATTTTTGTGTATAGTGTAAAATTAGCATTGAAAAAATGTTTGTGTACAGATACTCAATTGTCCTACCGTCATTTTTGAAAATACTATACTTCTCCATTGGATTGCTTCGGCACTTTTGTAAGTTTTTGGTTTATTTTTGAACTCTCAATTCCGTTCCATTGATCTGTATGTAGATCTTTATGTTAATACTAAACTGACTTGATTATTGTAGTTTTATATTAACTTTTGAAATCAGAAAGTATAAATCCTCCATCTTTGTTCTTCTTTTACAAAATTGTTTTGAATAATCTGGGTCCTTTGTATTTACATATACAAATGAGGACCAGTTTGTCAATTTCTGAAAATAAAAGCCTACTGATTGCATTGAACCTATAGATCAATATGTGGGTAATTGCCATCTTGACAATACTGAGTCTTCTAATCCAGGAATATGGACTCTCTCTCCATTTATTAGATCTTATTAATTTCTCAACAATATTTTATGTGTTCAGTGTACAATTCTTAGACTATTTCTGTCAAATTTAGTCCTAAGAATGATTCATCTTGATACTATTGTGAATGAAATTGTTTTCTTAATTTCATCTTTGAAATGCTCATTCTAACATGTAGGAATACAATTATTACCTTTTAAATATTGATCTTATTTCCTTCTGGAACTTTTTTTAAAATTTTCAGTGTTAAATTGTTCATTGCTTGTAGATAGTAATATAACTAATTATTGTGTATTGATATTTTATCCTGCAAACTTCCTGAACTTGTTTATTATTGTAGCTTTTTTGTGCACAATCTTGTCATGTATGAATAAAATGACTTTTACTCCTCCCTTTCTAATTTGAATGTTTTTATTTTACTGGCTAGAACCTCTAGTACAATGTAGAAGAGACATGGTGAGTGCAGAGATCTTTGTCTTATTCCTAATCATTGGTAGAAAGCGTTCAGCCTTTCACCATTAAGTATGATATTTGATGTAGGTTTTCTGTAGATGTTCTTTATCAGATAACGAAAGTTTTCTTCTCTTCTTACTTTGGAGAGCGTTTTTACCATGAATGGGTGTTGAATTTTGTAAAACATTTTTCTGAGTCTATTTAAATAATCATGTCATTTTGCCCCTTTATTCTATTAAAGTGATGTTTTCCATTAATTTATTTTCAAATGTTAAACCAAATTTGCAATCATGGGATAAACCTCACTTGTTCATGATGCTGCTGGATTCAGCTTACTAATATTTTCTTGAGAAATTTTATGTCTATATCCGTGAGGAATATTGGTCTATAGTTTTCTTTCTTTGATGTTTTTTCGGGCTTTGCTATCAGGGTACTTCCCTCAAAGAACAAACTATAAAGTGTTCTCTTTTATATTTTCTACAAGAGTTTCTGAAAGATTGGTATTATTTCTTTTTTAAATGTTTGGTAGAATTCACCAGTGAAGCCATCTTGGTCTGGGCTTTTCTTTATGTGAAGATTTTAAATTACAAATTCACTCTTTTTATTTTTTATTTTTTTTTAATATTTTATTGTACTTCAGGTGAAGGCTTACAGAACAGATAGTTTCTCATGTAACAGTAACACACATGCTGTTTTATGAC